GAAATAGTCAGAGCTTTAAACACAGTCCTCAAAAACAGGCATTCTGCCTGGACGGGTTGGCAGATTTCAGATTATCCCTTCTCTCTTTCTAATGATCACTCAAATAAGTGATTAGAGAACAAGCATTAGAAAGCAAGCAGAACAGAGGCAGTGTTCTGGATTGGCAATTCGACAGATAGGGAATAGGTTCTTCAGGGGTCACACTGGGAATATTTCTCAACACCAGAACTAAGGATAGGAGAGAAATAATTAAGTCAAATGGGGGTGGGGAAGGAGTTAAGGAATGTCCTCTTGGTATTTACATTAGAGCAAAACAAGCACAAACTACAGGCCAAAGACTGCAAGGTTAGTTTACGGATCCAGAAAGAGCCTAAGGTAGGCACAAAAGAGATGGTCCACTTGGGAAGAAAACATCCCAGGGAAGAAATGACAAGAAAAAAAATAATTGAGGTTCCCAAGTAAGCAAATGCCTTCTGTGATGCCATGAAAGTCAATTAGATGGCTTTCAGCTCCAGCGATGGGCCGATCTCCTGAGATAAAAGAAGCAAAGTCTCATGGGGCACAGGCAAGAGGAGAGAGATTGTTTTGTTCCTCACTTTCTGGCACCTTTGTCTATGTTGAAAAAATAAAAAGTGAAACATGTTATAAAAAAAGTAATTAATGTTTTTTCAAGAGACAATAGCAGCATACAAAACATTTCCCAATGAGAAGTATGATAAAGCCACTGAAACTTTTTATGCCATCACATTAAAAAATAGCAAAAATACAATAACAGAGCGGTGAAGAATGAGTTTCACCCAAAGACATGCTGAACAGCAGGAGCTTTTCTGGATTATTTTAGTGGAGTGTACACATCCATGTCACACCATCACTTCTTACTTAAAAACAGCTGCAGAAGGCTCCTGCTGTGGCCTTTGCCGTTAGCTGAAGCTCTGATCTTCCTGTCTTGATACAAGTCATCAAGTCGCATTTCCTGCTGGAATTAAAGTGGCAGCCCCTAGGGACTATGCAGCTGCCCAATTTATATCAGAGAGATTCTGAAGCAAGTGTGAGCGTTTTTTCAAACTGCTTAAAAAATTTGTGTATAAACCCAAAATTCTATGGAGACTTCTCTCCCTTGTCACTCCCCACTTTCCAGGCAGCTGCATTTTGAAACAATTAAAAGAAAACACACGCTTCCAAGTCTGTGCTTAAGAGCTAGAGGTTGGAAAATGTATGGGTAAACTCACTGACATCAAACCAAATTGTGCCTATAGCATAAAACTTAGCAGAGAGATTGTAGAAAAAGCTTCAAGGGTATTAGTTATTATGTGGTTAGTAGTTAGATGATAGGGATGGTATATGAATACTACAAAGGACATGTTTTTTTAATGTTAATTTTTTTTTGGTTTTTTGTTTTTTTTTAAACAAACAAACAAACAACACAAACAACAAAAGCTGCAGATCATGGCACAAAATTATTTTGATTGGAATGAAGAGAGCAAAAGGGAAACTGTTCTGGCCAAGTCTTCTGACCACCCAGTGCCAGACAAGAACAGCCACTGGGTCGTCGTTAAAGATGGGGGAAACCAGAAATGCAGACTACCATCTTTTGGTTCTATACTTCTACAGTGCTTAACACACCAAGAATCAGGTCAACAAAGGGTACTCCTAGCTGCTGTCATTATGATAGGTAACAATTTGGAGAATAGCGTGTGGCATCTCATTAAGGAATCTCAGTAGTTAAAAGAAGATATCCATAACTCAAATAAAGTTCTAAGCAGACAGTCAGGACTCCTTAACCATCAAGCAAGGTAAAAAAGTGCCTCTCCTGTACGTAATTCCTTTTAAATAAGTCTGTCAAAGAATATCAAAACCAAGGCAAAGCTGCAAACTATACTGCTCTACTTCAAAACCAAGAATCACAGAACCCTATAGAATTATTAATATTTTTTTTCCAAGTAATAAGCAAATCAAATTAAAGTATGTTAAATTGTGTATTAGAAGGGCTCTCACAGCTAGGTTCCACTTCCAAAATTACTTGAGAGCACATTATAATTAGCAAAGGTATGTGACAGTTTTATACCCCTTTATGATGCATGATTAAAGCCAGGCAACCCAGCTCAGCCGTAAGTTCTGCATGCCGTCAAAACAGATGTGACAAGAACTGCAATCTACCCTCAGACAGACTGTGAGAAAACATAGACAGATAACATTTTGGCCATCAAAGAGGTAAGACGCTACACAAAACTAATTAAAACTCAAAAACCCTCTGAGAAGTAGCTAAACTGTATTTTATATGGAAGTTATGTTAAGCATCTTGTGCTTAAGCCTCAGTGCCCCAGCCTGAAACCAAGAATGAGAACAAGCTCCTACCTTCCCCTCCTAGGTGCAACAAGGAACAAAGTTTACAGCCTAGAGATTAACAAGCTCACAGCCTCAGCATAAGGATACAGAGCACAAATGACTGTAGAAATTGCTCTTGTAACGCCACTGTGATGGTCTGTGATTGCTGATTTTTCCCACGCAAGACAAATACCTACTGTTTGCATCAGAAAAATACATTGAGTCCTGGCCCATTGAAAAAAAAAAGCCAGATTTAAACACATCTTCCACACAAATTCTGCCTCTTACATTTGCACATCCTTGTCCACTGAGCACTCACTCGAAGCTCAATTAGAGGTTCAACTGCTTGCCATTAAAGGAGGAAAAATTTAAGAGTGGGAAAGCTGTACGTGAGCCAAGGCTCTTGAGCTCAGCATAGAGGGAACAAAGGTGTTAGAAATAAATGTGTAAGGAACAGTGAGAATTTTAGGCTTTAAGAGTGCACTTTTTGGATAAATACTCCATAGTTGGTTGTGTAAGCATGAAACAAACAGCTGGATAAGTATGTTTCTGAGAAGCATAACCATTTTCACTTTCATTTATCTACAGATTTCTGACTAACAATTAGTCTAAGCTTAGACTAACTAGGCTAGGATTAAGATTCAGACCAAATCTTAATACTACTTCTTTCATACCATCCCTCTGCATATGATACCTTTCCTTCTGTTTCCAGGTACCCCTCCTATTGCTTCCATCGCAGGGCTTCCAAGCCCACCTCCCCAAAGTCCCAGTAGCTCCAGACAGTTCCCTTAATTCATTCTTTCAGCCATTCCCACCACATTGCTCCTGCTCTGCTCCATTCCCATCTCCTCTGTGGAAAACACTCTTCTCATTACTCCCCCAGCCATGGGTTTGTCCCCTTCTGCAGGAGGTTTTGTTGTAAGGCTTTTGCTGGTTTGGCCTTCAGGGACCCTCATGCCTTCCCTAGAACAACTTTTTGGGTAAAGCTTAAGTTCTCTGTACCTTCACAAAGCAACAGCTCTGTGGGTACCTAGCTCCGTTGCACGCACACTGCCTAGGCTGCACAGAAACATGCTTGGGTTACTGCCTCTTCCTTCTGCACTGACATTATCTCCTTGTATCTTTTGCACCTCATTGCTAACCAAGGCTGTATTTACACACGCAAACCAGGACCTACACACAATATTGAATAACAACACGCTGCTGGAGCTGCTGGGTGAGTCATGTTGCTGTGCATGAGCACATACACACGTACGTGTGCAAACTTCCCCAAAAGACAAACAACTTGCCAATGCCTAACAACTCACTCATGATTCATGCCTGATTTTTCTTAATTAAAACAGCTGAGAAAGGGGAGGCAATTAAACAGTGCAACTGCTAAGTGGACAGTCCTAAATCTCAAGAGTTAAGGAGAATCTCAGAATGCCGAATTTATCAAACTCGAATACAAATCGTCCTCCGCTTCTACAAGGGTGAGCTGGCTGGTTAAGGCTGGGAAAACAGTTAAACCACTACCTTTCTGGGGTTTCCAGTGTGAAGAAACAAACTTAGCATGTTTATAAGCAGGTTTGTATTGCTCTGTGGCTATCTCAATGAAGAAGGCATATACATGATTGTATATATCATGATACATCACTTTACAGTCAAGCTTTTCATCACATCAATTTCATTCACAGACACTAAATGCAGTGCAGCTGCCTGGTTCAGGCCCCGATACACACTCAGGATGACTGTCAACACATCAGTGCAAGAGAAACTACCTAATTGGCAGATATCTTTTTTGCTTCAATATCATCAGTTAATTCCAAATAGCATTTTCAGTGCAAGCACCTATGGTTACATCTACGTACCAGCACAACAGGGGAATGTTACACAGCAGAATTGTTTAACACCTCTTCTAAGCAACAGCAACTGTTGCCAAGCTGTCTTCATCTCCCCAGTTATGCTTTGCTATTAACATGATTCACAGGAGAAGAACAAATATAAAGCACCGCAACAGGCCTTTGTTATCACTGGAAGCACGTTGCACTGTGTGAGCAGTGACCCTCTAAAGAATGATGTTTACAAAGGTCTCATTTTGGGAAGCTACTTAGGTGGACACTAACAAAGCGTCTCTGGATGCTGAAACATCAAGAGAACATGTTAAAGCACTTTACAGTGTCCTGCAACTGAACTGTTTTCAATGCTCCTCTTATTTCCAAAAAAAATTACAGTTGTCTCTCTGTAAAGCAGAGAGAACTTCCACACAAGTGAGGTGGCTGCACAGCAGCAAGTGTTATTCTACACAACATACATGAAATGTTGAAGACACGTGATAATTTGAACTCTTACTGTGGCATCACTAAATCGACCAAATAGAGTTCAGAGCATAAGAGCAGTTGTGAGTGTGCATTAGTGCTACATCAGAGCATCAAACAGGTTTGCATGAGATACGATGTTTTTATTTTTTTTTCCTCTCGAAGAAGTTTGCTTAACAACGCGTCTGTAAAATTGAAAACCTGCAACTCAGCCTTGGAAGAGCTGGAATTCCCTTCCACTTAGTAAAGAATCTGGCCTGATTGCTGGTGACTGCCGATCACTGCTATGTCATCACTCCAAAGCTGTGAAACATCCCCGCGACTGTGTTAATTAGCTCCCCTTGCAAAGCGCTTAAGCCACAGAGCGAGGTTACTCACGTGATGTCCCTGCGCTGATAGCAACCTTGAAGAAGGCAGGCGATCAGGTCGCTGATAAACTCCACATCATCCCTGTGAAGAGCAGCTTCCAGTTCCTAATGAGCAGAAAGGAGAGAAAAAAAATGCCACCCATCAAACTAATTCCTTAGAATACGCTGTTAGTTTATTAGGACCAAAAAGAGCCAAGCAGCCTAAAGTACGCGCACAGCAGCAGGGCATACGCTGGGTAAGCCGACCTTCCCCATCGTTAAAAATACTGCTATTGCCTCCTCACCACAAGAGTTTATGGGGAGACCTTGAAAAGCTTTTACTCAATAACACTCTCCAGCTTTTGTCTGTAAACAGAAAAATATGGTTCAGTGAGGTTAAGATACTACAGCCTAATAAGAGACCCATGATTTCTGCTGTGTTCAGCTGACAGGCAGGAACCAACAGTTTCATTCTCCTTTGTTTTCCCACTTATGGTAACTACTGAGTTCATTTAAAAGATTTGCTCAGAAAGTGAGTCCCAAAAAGCCACTCACACGGAGAAGCACAAATTTAGATGGGTATGCAGAAATGGGTGAAAGCTAGCAAGCAAGTGCCTCAAGGAAATAATCAAAATGCCTGCTTTTAACTTATTTCTCTTCATTTTTTTTTCAATAACGGAGAGAGAAAGGGTGGAGGGATGTCAGACCTCATGACCTGGCCCCAAAGCCTCAACCCTTCACAGAGCAATGGAGAGTATTACAGCTTATTTCAGCACAATAGAGTTTGTATATAGGTGTGATGCAGAAACTCGCCAATAAAAAGGATAAACTTCTGAAATGCAGTTGTTCAAAGTTATGCAAAGTTTGTGTTTTTCAGTTAGCAATTTCAAGTTTTTCATTTTTCATAATGCTCATAGATTAGCTACAGTTTTATTCATATTCCAGAAGAATCACTCATGGTAAGAAAATCCACTTCCTATAAGTGTGATCATCAGCAGTTACCTTCATAATAAGATTTAATATGGATAAACAACATAGCCATAAGAAGCTATTCTTTTTGAGATTCAGAGTAAATAATGGATTGAATACAAATTCCTACTTGAATGTTACTCCACAGACTGTTACACAAACGGCTAAGCTAATGGCTACAGAATAAAGGTTAATGGCCAGAGAATAAAGGATAAACGTTTTGGCACTTACCCAATAAAGAAGGGAAAGTGCTTTTTTATTAGACCGCAGTAACTGCGGTAATAAAATTATTGATAATAGATTGCAGATTAAATGCTGCTTGTAGTTTTTTTTATTGGAAACATATTAATGGCATATATTCATTATCAACACCACTCTTATTTACCTCTCGCATAGTACCCAGAGCAATTCATAACCAGAAGCCTGGCACCTGCCCTGTGAAGCATGTATTAAACACATCTATTATATGGGAAAACTTAAGGCAGAGAAAGGACAAGGGGCAGCCCAACCCTGACACAGCATCTCTGCCACAGAGGTAGGGAAAGTCCCAAAAATCTCGGTCCTGGCCTTTAGAGGACTACCCTGCCTAACGAGAAGTTAATGCAAAAACTACAGTTACTGCTTGCCATCGCTTAGGTAGAGTGATGTTATTGCTATATAAACAGCAATCATGCTATGTAAATAATAATTACCAAGTGAATTCACTCGGTAAGCAGATAGTATTTTGGAGGCATTGACTTCTTTTGTTTTTAAAGGACTTTGGTGGTCATCTGCACTCTAACAAAACATACCCGACAGAGGGGGGAAAAACATATATGATGTGCTAAAGCATCCCCGGTTATGTTCAAATAAGTTATCACAATGAACTTGTGAAAAATGACACACAAGGAAAGAGAATAAAGGGGAAAACAGTGAGCCTCCAGTTCAGGATATCCCTCCCCCTTTCCCTCACCCACAGTACATTTGTGCACTAAAGCCGTCAGTCACCAGCCTGCCTTTGCCAGGATGTGACAGCCTTTTGTACGAAGGGATATTTAAATTGCTTCCCGTGAGCCCTTTCAGCCTGCTGTTTGACTAGCACTCATTAAACAGCAGCCACAATCCCCTCAGATAGCCCTGTATCACCAATGATTGTTTTCCAGGCCCGGCGGTGACCTTTACATTTTGGGAGCCCGCAGGTCGCTGGGGGAGATAGGGGACATGCCTCAGGCGCTGGGCGAGGATGGACACAGGGTGGAGTGGCCTCAGCTGCCTCCCCTCGGCCACCTCTGGGTCATTATTTGGCTGGGGGTGGTTAATTGTCTTAGAAAATGGTGCTGACACACTGCCCTGTCAAGCTTTGGTCTACTTCTCTTGGGGTGCTACTTGTGACAGGACAGGAGCAGAGAGGTGCGTTCATTTCCCAGCGATGGGTCCCGTGGTCCCATTCAAATCAGTGCTGCCATTTTCTATCCACACGCAGTTCTCTGGCTTTCTACCCCAAAAAAGGTCTAAATGCTGAATTTTTCCCACATGCCCAGGGTACTATGGGAATGCCAAAGAGCATGACACGATGCAGATCTCTACATCTCAGGACCACGAACAAAGAGTTGGGATCCTCTTGGGTTCCCAGCCCAGACTGTGGAGGAGGAGGAAGAAACCTTGCTTTTCCAGTCCTCCCTCCAACAGCAGTCAGCAGAGTGGCATGGAGCAGAGGTGGGCAAAGGACTCCCAGGAGAAAGGGGCCACCAAGCCCTGAGGTGCAAGGTCCTGAGGGCAAGGCCTGCCCCTGGGCACCAGTCCCCGTGCTCCGGCCGGGCCAGGGCGAGCGCCTGGGCTTCCTCCCCGCCACCATCCCTCCCCCCGGCGCCTGCAACCCTTTTGTTTTTCCCCTTTCTCTTTGAGCACTGAGCTGTGAGCGCAGAAATCTGAACCTTGCCAAAACGCTTTGGGGACAGAACAGAAAGGAAACAGAAGAGGCAGCAAATCAGCGGAGGAAGGGAGGGGGGGGGACACACACATCTCCTCCTCCTCCCGTAGCTGGAGAGAGAGCAACAGACAGGAGAAAAGCAGGATTCTCCCCCTCTCCAGCTGGCGTCACACCTCATTAGGGAAAAGCCTGTTTAACGTCTTTCCCTCCCCCAGCCCCGACTAAATCCCCTCTGAGTCATGCAGTGGCTGTTGGGAAAAGGCGGCCGCAGGAGCAAGGGTGACCACCTCGCCCGGGAGGCGCGCTGGCCCGCAGCGGGGTGAGCGGGGCCGGGCGAGAGGCCACGAACCCGGCCCTCTGCTCCCTGGGAAAGGAGCCAGCAGGGTGGGCTCCAGCTCCCAGCACGCTGCTGGGGAGGGATGGCCTCACCGAGCTCCCAGTTTCGGAAGACGGGCTCCAAAATCGCAGGGAGGTCCGGCACGTGTCGCGGCACGGCTGGGCGCGGAGGTGCAGGGCCACGGGTTTCAGCTCCGCGCTGGAGCTGAATCATCCATGGCTGGATCTGGTGGACATAAACAGTTTAAGCATGGCTAAGCCTCGTCCAAGTTAGCCACCAGTTTAAAAGCCCAATCCCCTCAGCTCTATTTCTATACGGCTGCCGTTATCAGCTTTCCACGGCAATGCTCCCAAGTGACTCAACAGGCTTTTGCTGAAGGGTTTAGCAGATCACCGAAAGCCACCCATGTGGGCCGAGCTGAGCCAGCCCCAACTCGTGTGCTGAAATTTCTGCATTGCTGCTAAACGAAGCCAGGACGTCCTCTTCCCCTCACAGATAATTAACGAGGGCAGGTACCCAGGCAAGAGTCTGGCAAATTCATGGATTTCGGGAAGTGTGAAAAGAAGAAGGGTACAGTCACCTAGATGGTGCAAGGAGAGGAGAAGTCAGCTGCAGGTCTGAAGCACTTCCAACAAGCACCATGTGTCCCTGCTGTCCCCAAAGAAACAGCGGCTCAATATGCAGGGGCTCTGGGAAGGACCCACTGTCCCTCCTCAAGGCATCCCGAAAAGAAGAGCACGATGCCCTCCTTTTGGTGCGAAGGGCACCCAACTGATCTGCCTGAAATGGCAGCAAGAGGTGAATGCAATGACAACCAGGATGCTGTCCCAAGGCTGAGGTGACAGGCTTCAGCTACACCACAGGCTGCTTGCTGTGTCTGCCCCATAGCAATCCTGTTGGTCTATCCATGGTGCTTGGCCCCTGCAGCATACTGAGCTTGCCTACAAATCCCCCCTCCGCAGCCAGATCCTCTTCTGCAGCCCAGTACCATGCACTCCTCGGATGCGATTGCTGCCGTTGTATGGAAATAGTGCTCAAAATATGGACCCTGTTGAGGCTGCCAACCTGGGGTGACAGAGAGGGTGTTGCACTCTGCCCCAGGAGCGCACACAGCAGTGGGTTTAGATGGCTGCAGTAAAGCAGCTACAGTTTCTGGTCCTGATGGAGTCTCCCAGCCACATTATCTTAATTTCAGCAGCTGGCTGGAGGCACCATCCATTATCCAAATATTTGAGAGGAGATTACACTCCCAGCCTCACCAGTCCCAGGGACAAAGATGCTGCAGAAACTTGCATGGCTCCCTCTCTGTGCAATGCCCCAGGGCTGTAAAGATTCCTGAGCAAAAAGTGCCCCTGGCTCCTCCAGTCTGTATTTGTATCTTGGGGAGAGGGTTGGCAGCTCCCCTCAGGGAAACATCGTCTTCTGCTTGTCCCCAGGGGACCACAAGCCAAGCTGGTCTTCTATGGTAGCTTCAGGGGTGCAAGGTGAGGGGATTCAATGATACTTGGCACTGCAAGCAGCCTCTTATCTGAGACATCATGGTGAAAAGCACACACCTGATTGAGAAGAACTGCCCTGCTAGAAAGGGACTATACTTTAAGGAGGGTAAGGCAGGAGCAGCAGAGGTTTTCCTCTTTCTTAGGTCAGTCCTTACCGTCTGCCAGTGCCTTCAGAGACCTCACTACGTTCCTCCCTCGCCTTTCTGTAAGCAGGCTTTGAAGGCTATTTCAAGCCGCTTGTAAATAGGAGCATAATGTTACGCCAGGGCCAAGCAGAGGTGTGAGATGACAGCTTTATTCTAGGGAGATGGTTATAAACAGAAAGCCAGGGAGAATTTCTCGTATTGCCTCCACATTACGGCTCCTTGCAAAGACCAAACCCTAGGGTGCTGGCAGGGCAGTAGGTAGCCGT